TTCCTCTTCTCCCTCTACCCCATTTCTTGGTCTTCTTCTCTTTCTCTTGTCTCTCTCCATCATCCACCAACATCAAGCACCGTCAACAAACAACAATGGGAACCACCACCAACATCAATCGCAATAACAATGGCGCAACACCACCAACAACGGCGCAACAATAACACCGTGGATAGCCACCCACCTTCGCTAGCCACCCACTCAAGGTTTTTGTTTTGTAGATCTAGTTTAATTTAGGTTAGATTGTAAATCTAGTTATATTTTTTTTTTTTTTGGTAATTGTAATGTTAATTTATTAATTTTATTAGATAATTGTATATTTATATATTTTCTGTAATTTTTGTTTGTTAATTATAGTTTTTTTTTTTTTTTACAAATTCTAATTAAATGTGTTATCTATTGGTTTTGATTTTTTGTGTGTGGTACTTTTTTATGTTGTTGGGTTGATTTTTGTATCTTCAGGTTTATTTTAGTCTTTTTGGGTTAATTTTTTTTTTTTATGTTTAGGCATTATCGTTTTTTTGAGGTTGAATTTTCTTTTTTCGCCTAAGTTAGGTTTTTTTTGGTTAAATTTTGTTTTTTCGGGCTAAGCTTTGGTTTTTTGGGGTTAATTTTTGGTGTGGTAGTGTGGTGGTGGGAGAAGGGTGAGTTTGTGGTTGGGGTCGGTGTAAAATCCGTATGTTTTCGACGCTATGAGCACGACACTGTATAAACGGGCGTCAGCTATAAGTACTATTGTTTGTTGTTGTCTCGACGCTATTCTAAGTCGGAAATTAATTTTGACCCTGAAAAGCGTCGAGAAAACCCTCACATGTAAGACACGTGATATTCTCTATAAAACCCTCACATGAAATTAATTCTTGAGATTTGGTTTTATTGAAACTATAACCGCTCCTCAACAAGTAGAAACCCTCATTGTCTTATCATTCTTGAATCCTGATATCTTCTCTATTTCATTTTCAATCCTTCAAAATTCCATAGAAAAATCATGGATTTTGGATTCAGATTACATTTCTCTAGTGTATTACGATACGTGCGGTGTTTTCCTTATTCACCGTCTTATTCAATTTCGTCTTTTTGTTCAGATTCGTAAATTGAGGTAATAATTTTTCTTACTCGTAATTTCCTTTTAGAATTAAGGGCAATAATTTTGAGTAATATTTTGGTTATAGATGGATTTGACTCATGAATCTATATTATAATTGTAGAGTCTTTTCACCATAACCCTCCAAATCCCCAATCCTCAAATCTCATGCTTTTAGGTTTTTTTTTTTTCTTTTTTACCACTCAATTTTTTTTTTTAAAACCAATAACTACCATTCCACTAAAAAAAATAAATTATAAAAAAAATCAATAATTATTCAGCCAACTTTTTTTTTTTTTTTTTTTTTTTTTCATTTTCTCAAGGGATTGCTAACTAATAATAACAATTCATTTTTCTTAAACACTACTAACATTTCACTTTGTGTTATTTTCTTTCGTGTATAATATGTTTCATGTATTAGCACGGCTACACAAATATATAATTACTTTATCAACAATTCACCGTAGAACTCAAAATCCCAACCCTTCAATTCAAACAACTTCCAATTTTCTAATCAACAAAACAAAAATATGTACAACGCGCTTTTTGCGTAACTGGCCTCATCGAATAGTTGCTTGCAAAAGAACAAAGTAACTCCTCCTATAGCACTGATGAAATAACCCGTATGACACTAACCGAGTAACCTCTAATCAACAAAAGAACCTCTATAGCTTGACACATTTGCGTGGCCACCCACATATAAGAGTAAGGTTTTGTTCTTTTGAGTTTATGAGCAGAATAGAGCACATCATATTGCAAAAGAGTAGAGCGGGTGACAATAGAGTACAACAGGGCTCAAAAGAGTATATCATATTGCCAAAGCAGACCATAAATAGTTCAAAATAACAGGTTCTAAGTTGCTACATCAGTACATCTAAATCAACTTCCCGTAATTAAAAAGTATTTTTTCTTATATTACATCAGTACACTCTAGTAACATACAATTTGAGGGTTTTGTATTTTTCCTTTTTTTTATTAAAAAAAAAAGGAATTTACAGGTTTTTATGATTCAGGTTTTTATGATTCTAATTGCGCTACAAGGCTACATTTTTAATCCACTTATGAAATTATGAAATTAGTTGTTTTCTTTTTTATAATTCAATAAGTCGTTCGATAATTACCCTCACTTCTCTGCATCAAAGGTTCCGATTTTACATCATAGTTAAATGAAATTCTGGGTCAATGGTTTTATGTTTCAACTTTTGTAGCAAATCCAAAATGAATACAAGTTGTTTCAATCATCAATCGTTTTTTTTGGGTGTTGTTATTTGTCGCTCCCATTTTACCGGGTAACGCTCCCTTTTTGTCTTGAAATTCCAATTTTACCCCTAATATATAAATACGGGGTTTTCCTTCCCGACCAACCTTTTTCACTTCTTTACTTCTCTCTCTAACTCTCTTACTCTCAAACTCTCTTACTATCTAACTCTCTAAAACAATATTTTTTTAAAAAAAAGATAAATTCAAAAAAATTTCTTCATTTTTAAAAAAAAACAACAATCATCATAAACTCAAAAAAAAATGGGTGATTCGAGGCGGATTAGGCTGAGATTCGGAGGGAGGACCTTCGGCGGCCCTGGTGGCAGCGGCGGAGGCGGCGGCGGCGATGCTGGAGACGAGGTTTTTTTTTTTTTTTTTTTTTAATTTCGGATCCCAGGAACTTCCGCCCAAAAATTCCGGAAGTTTCATGGAGGATCCGCCTGGAATTTCCGGATCCTCCATGGAACATTCGGAAATTTTGGGCGGAAGTGACATCCGCCCAGAAATTCCGGATGTTCCATGGAGGATCCGGAAATTCCAGGCGGATCCTCCATGGAACTTCCGGAATTTTTGGGCGGAAGTTCCTTTTTTTTTTTTACCGTTAATAAAATTGTTAATTTAAATTATTTTTTTTCGGATTTTGTTTTTTTGTTATTTAGAAGTTTTATGGTGATTATTGTTATTATTATTGTTGTTGTTATTATTGTGGTTAGTATATTTTGTAATGTAATTATTTTTAAAAATATGATAATTTTTATTATTTTGTTGAAATTAGGTTTTTATTATTAATGTTAAGGTTATTGTTGTTGTTGTTAATTTGTTTTTTTTTTTGGATTTTGTTATTTTTGTTGTTATTTTGAAGTGTTATGGTTAGTATTATTATTATTGTTGTTATTATTGTTGATATTATTATTATTATTATTATTGTTATTATTATTATTATTATTATTATTATTAGTGTTATTATTTTTAAAAATTATTAAACTAATTTGATATTAGGGTTTTTATGGTTATTGTTGTTGTTTAGTTTTTTGTTGTTGTTGTTGTTGTTGTTGTTGTTGTTATAATAATATTATTATTATTGTTATTAGTAGTACTATTATTAATATTTTTAATTATGATTAGTATTATAGTTGTTGATATTAGTGTTATTATTATTGTTATTATGGTTATTGTTGTTGTTGTTAATTTGTATTTGTTGTTGTTGTTGTTGTTGTTGTTGTTGTTGTTGTTAGTTAGTTATTGTTGTTGTTAAGTTTATTTGTTGTTGTTAATTTGTATTTGTTGTTGTTGTTGTTGTTGTTGTTGTTGTTGTTGTTATTGTTATTATGGTTATTGTTGTTGTTGTTATAATAGTATTATTATTATTATTATTATTATTATTATTATTATTATTATTATTGTTATTATTATTATTACTAAAAACGGATTATTTTTTTATTTTATGTAGATCGAGGGTTCTGGTGCTCGACATGCAATATCACGACGTCTGAATGCGTCTGTTAGGAGACAGACATCTCGATCTTCACCGCTTCAGCCCGAGCAGCAGCAATACGGGTCTACTAGTGGTTGGTCGAGAGACCAATAGTCTGGCAGTAGCCGACCCTTATACTCTGCAAGTGGAGCACCCATATCTGACGAGGAAGAAGAATGTTCGACTAGTCATGCTGGTGACCGGGATGAAGAACAGGACCCTCAGGATTTCCATATGGTATATAGGGGTCAGTCTGGGAGATTTGTTGGTAGTGGATCGAGTCAGCCTACTTCCAGCTCTGCAGAGGCATGGTTAGTGCAGGAACCGATGCCGGGTGGGCCTGAGGATGGGTTAGTTATCCCTAGTTTTGGCGGTCACGTGACACGGTATATCTGGATGGAGCAGGAGCGTAGTGTTTTGCGCTGTTTGAGTAGGACAAAGTTATGTTCTGACTTGTTCACTTGGCGAGGTCGTCAATCTGTGGAGGACCTTGCGGCAATTGATGCTAGTTGGTTGTCTCACTTGCCCGGCCTGATGTTTAAGAGACTTGATTGGCCGTTGATTTCTGCTTTTGTTGAGAGGTGGCAGCCAGATACGAACACCTTTCACATGCCATTTGGGGAGATTACGATCTTGCTGCACGACGTGTACAACATACTTGGGTTACGGGTTGCAGGCAATATGGTGACCACTACTCCTAGCACAGACGTGTTACGGGACGCGTGCTCGGTCACCATGGATATGACTCCAGATGATCTGTCTGAGGTTTGCGGCACAAAGACCATTTGGCAGGGTAGTGGGGTGTTGACTGATAAGATTTTTGAGTCGACATTGGCGGTCGACCGGGATTTTAGTGAGCAACTTGATGCATACTTGTGGTTAGTGCTTGGAGGTACACTGTTTGTAGACAAGAGTGGTAACCTTACGCATCCTTCCTTCCTCCACGAGCTATGTCACACGGATGTCCCTATTAACGAGTATGCTTGGGGAACAGCTGCACTAGCCTACTTGTATTGGCAACTGGGCACGGCATCACGGAAAGGTGCTGATTCGATTGCTGGTTGTCTCACGCTTCTGCAAGCGTGGATTTACGAGTACTTTCCGTGCTTTCGGCCACAGCAGGGTACCTTGACTCGGGAACTTCAAATGCCTCGTGCGCATGCTTGGGATGTTGGAGCGGGATGTCCTAGCAAGAACCTAGAGCGCCTGTTAGCTTTTCGTACTAGGATTGATGCGCTTACTGACCGTGAGGTGAACTGGCTACCGTACGGAGTTGATCCTGCATTACGAGTGCCCCCCACTTTATTCATTGGCTGCATCCAGTACCGTAACATCATTGAGTCGTACATGCCTGATAGAGTGGTGCGCCAGCTTGGTTTCGTGCAAGGCATTCCCCGCGAAATAATCAGGCTAGAGAAGGCCAAGAGGCCGACTAACTTGAAGATGTATCGGGTAGACTTCTTGACTGAGATGACAGTTGTGATGTGGAACAGGTTTGTCCTTGGGGTATCTCAGAGTGTTGTTTTAGGTGCCCTACCCAGGCTTAGTGCTGCAGCTCCTTCGGTTGCGCCTGATTACATGCAGTGGATGTACAGGTTTTCTCACCCGCGGGTATCTCCAGGTGCAGGAGTTACAAGCAACCTGCCTGAGCGGACTAACACTGATTACGTAAGTATTTATGCTTATTATTATATTAACAATGACTTCTATGAATTTTTGTGTTTATAATATGTTATTGTTTGATTTGCAGTGGATGGGTCGGTCCATGGAGATTCACCAAAGAGCACTAGCTGAGTATCCTGAAATGTCGAGTGAGACTCGAACAATGACTGAGCAGCTTGTATTTGATTGGAAGTCAAAAATGGGACTTTAGATTATTTTGATTAGATGTTCTGTTAGTGGTTTTAATAATGTTATGAACTTATTTTTAATTTTTTTTAAATGTAATGTATAAACTGGACACTTATTTTATTTTATATTTAATGTTTTGTTGCATATCATGTTAGATTAAAAGCAAATACATTTAAAATTAATTTCATAATTCTAATTTTCTTACAAATGTTCAAAGTTAGTAAATGTACATTACAAACTACCTAACTATTGCATCCCACATGTCCCTTCTCAACTGATATGCTTGATCCCATCCATTGACATTATCCTCGTGGTTTTGCGTCCACCAACCGGCGATCGGCGGGAGTGGTGAATCAGGTACAAGGTCAAGACGGATAAAATGTGATCCACCAACTGTAGCAATCACAAACTCTCGAGTCGGTGACCGAACCCCGTTGCGTGCCCTAAGCGGTAAGACTGTGATGCATGGGTAGTAGCAAGTTGGTACTAGGCCTACTCCGAGACAAATCACCCTTGCGTTGAACCACGTAGCAATAGGAAATAAATCTTGAATTGTAACCATCCAATGCCGCTCCCCGACAGCCCCACCATCCCATCAAATACGTTCCACGTTCATCCAAAGTCGCCCAAGCCCGTAAATCCGTTCGTACAAATCAGGATGACCAGCGATCTCGTTCGCTATTGTTTCCCGAGCGTTAAACCACTTATTTTGATCGCCAAAGAAGAAGTCGGCGACACAACGAAAGCCACAGTTCCCATCACCGATGACATCCTTCCAAGACGTAATGTACGGCAACATTGGGGCTGGAAGCAAGTTTAAATACCTGCATTGACTAATGTCACTTGGATCTACAACACAAAATTAAAAGATAAATTATTAGTAAAGCTACAAGTATTAAGTTTACATATTTTTATATTAAATATAGAATTTTAGTATTACCTGGTTCTGGGTCACCACCACGTTGAGTGTGTTGACGGTTCACATGCTCGAAATAGCTACGATCACGCCTAGTGTTATTTCTCTTCGGTCGACCACGAGTGTTAAGGTTGATATGTGGTTCTTCAAGGTGTGAATGATCTGGATGTAGCTCCTCTTCAATGATTCGCGTTACATTTCGACGTACGGCCGGGTCACTTTCCATGACTTCGTCGATTAGGGACCGAAAATGTGCAGCCTCCTCGGTCGAATCATTTACCACTTCAGGAATGTTAACACCATCACCAATAACCAGTATCTTCCAGAAAGAATGAATTTGGCTGCTATACAATCCTGTTTGTGCAACTATCGAATCATGTATCTGGCAAGCACATGGAAGACCATGGGTCACACACATAGCACATCCGCACCGTTCATGGACCTGGTAACTCAAATCCCGCATCCTTTTCGTCTCCTTATCCAGAACTTTCAAGCAATGTTGAGACACTTTGCCGTTTATACGTGACAGTGGCATTTGTCTGTACATCTAACCAATTTTAGACCTTGATGCCTCCAACTCATTACGAATTTGTATGATGCGATTACCAATATGACAATGGACTCGGGCCCATACGGTATCCAAAACACCTACCAATGATTCTAATTAGTAAATTCAAATACAATTACAATTACGTAACAACGAGAACAACTAATAAAATCATACAACTAACCTGTGGATGATTCAAACCAAGTTTTCACTGCTGAATGTTGGCTCTCAACTCTGCAGTTGGTGGTATTACCAAAATGAAGAATCTGGTTCGTCCAAAATTTCACAAATTTCTCCTTATGACAAAGCCATGTTCTCTGAACATACTGAATCACTTCCGGATATTTTCCCCACCTCACTTGCATGGCAGTTAGAGCACGATCATACTCCGCCTGTGTTGTTGCATTCACAATTTTGAACCATCTCCCACCTCTAAAACTGACACCAACCGTCTTGTTTCCAAACATCTTCGTCACCTTAGCCTCCACATCTCTGTTGATGTTCCATAGACAGAGTAAATGTGACGTCCCTGGAAAGACTTCTCTCAAAGCCGCACATAGCCCAAGATCACGGTCTGAAATAAATACAGATGGCTCTATATCAAATCCAATCAACTCCCTTAATCTCTGCAACACCCACCGATAGCTAGCCGTGCACTCATCGCGCATGAAAACATATCCAACTAGAAAATTCTGGTTTGTCGGTGTCACGCCTACTATCTCAAAGAAAGGCATGTTATATCGATTGGTCTTGTAAGTAGAATCCATACCAATGACATGTGGGTATGTGCGGAGTATGTTGACCATGATCGGGTGCACCATAAATGCATGTTGCAAAACGTTGTGATCATCATTCCTGACCCAGTAAATGTATTTACTCTCTCTCGCCAGATGAAGAAATTGCTGAACAACTCCTCTTTTTTCGGACATCTCCATCTTGAAGTCATTTTGGCAATTGTAAATGTGTCGGATGTTTGGATGATCATCAGGAAATTGCTCTGCAATAGTGGACATGATGTTACGGGGAGCAACCTTGGACTTTGTCATGTCCCGCACAACCTGTTTTGCACCCAGACTCAATCCGCTAACTTTCCGGTGACCCTCTGGGTACACAATCATTGGGTGGTTATGTGTCCCGGTGTGATCATTTTTCGCAATGATCTTCCAACTTTCGGTGCTCACATCATAATATATCTTGATGTAGAATGGACAACCATTAGCTTTGGTTTTGGTGTCCTTCCGTATCGCGTTCTCCAAATCTCTCGGCTTGCTCCTTCGTGACCGATCACATCGCAAATACCGATACGGCCGACCATCTCTGGTTTTGTTATAAGACGATTTCACCAATATAAATCCCAATTTTATGGAAACACCATCAGCCCATGTAACTGCATCATCAAATGTAGGAAAAATGTATCGGTGACAAAATTCCCACTATAATTCACACCGTCACCGCCTTCCTCAGATTCCATATCCTATACAAATTAAACAAAACATGCTTTATGTCAAAATAATAATAATAATAAAAACAATAATAATAATAATTATTATTATTATTGTAATTATAATAATAATACTAATAAAAATACTAATAATAATACTAATAACAATAATAACAATACTAATAACAATACTAATAATAATAACAACAAATACAAAACATTAACAATATTAATGATAATAAAAAATTATAATAACAACTACAAAACAATTTATAAGACCATAACATTAATTAATAAATAATAATAATAATAATAATAATAATAATAAAAATAAAAATAATAATAATAATAATATTAAAATTATATTTCTACTAATTAATAATAACAATATCAACAACAACAACAATAAAAATAACAGCAACAACAACAATAATAATATCAACAACAACAACAATAAAAATAACAGCAACAACAACAATAATAATATCAACTACAACAACAAAAATAATATCATCAACAACAACAACAACTACGATAATAATAATAATAATAATAATAATAATAATAATAATAATAATAACAATAATAATAATAATAATAATATTTTCATTATAATATAAATAATAATAATAATAATAATAATAATAATAATAATAATAATGAAACAAAAAATAAACATATTACTAATAATCATATTAATACAACAAAATTACATTAATTATCAAATACTAAATCACAATAATCACAAGACCACGAAAAAAAATACATAAAAAAAAAACTTAATAAACATAAAAAAAAATTAAATAAACGTACTTAAAATTTAAAAAAAAATAAAATTTGAATAGGAACATCCGCCTAAAATTTCCGGATGTCCCTTGGTACATCCGCCTAAAATTTCCGGATGTACCATGGAACATCCGGATTTTTTAGGCGGATCCCATCTTCCGCTTGAAATTTCCGGATGTTCCATGGTACATCCGGAAATTTTAGGCGGATGTACCTAGGACATCCGGAAATTTTAGGCGGATGTCCTAATTACCGAAAATAAAAAAAAATAAAAACTTACAGAATGATCCGACGCATTCTCTGGTGTACGTATGTTCCACTCGCCGTCCATGACCCAAGACCCGTCGGAAAATTTCACGATTTTTAAAAATAGAAAATTTAGGTGGTCGTGGGGACCGATTTGGTTGCAAGGCCGTGGGGACCGATTTTGGGAGGCTCGGGACAGCAATGTCGTGAAGTGAGGGGACCGTTTCATGTATTGTGTCCAAATGGGGAACAAGGTCCATTTTATAACACAAATTGCATAAAGGGCATAGTGGTCCATTCAAGTCAAAAAGGGAGCGTTACCTGGTAAATTGGGAGCGACAAATAGCAGTTGAGTTTTTTTTTTTTTTTTTTTTTTCCTTTGAATTCTGAATCTCTTTTTCTTGTAGTTTTGAATTTCTAGGTTTTTACTTATTTGTCTCAAGTTAAATTTGTTCTAACTTCTAACTTTATAGGATTTAATGAATGTGTTGAGTTGAATACTTGATATTTATTGGGATAATTGACAATGAAAATTGATTGACTAAGGCCTTGTTTAATTCACCTTATTTTTACTTATTTCAGAAAAAATAAATTTAGATCATATCAGAAAAAATAAGTTCAAATCAGATCAGAAAAAATAAGTTCAGATCAGATCAGATTAGAAAAAATAAGTTCAGATCAGATCAGATCAGAAAAAATAAGTTCAGATCAGATAGATAAGTTCAAATTAAATACAAATTATTATTATTATTATTATTATTATTATTATTACTACATATTATTATTATTATTATTATTATTATTATTATTATTATTATTATTATTACTACTACTACTACATATTATTATTATTATTATTATTATTATCATTATTATTATTATTATTATTATTATTATTATTATTATTATTATTATTACTGTTATTATTGTTCAAACAATAAACGATAATAATTAAATTTTCATTACACTAGTAGAAAAATACAAAAAAGCACCCCCTAATTGGCACCGGTTCAGTCCAAACCGGTGCCAAAAATAGCCTTAAAACATGCCGGTCTAATGAACCAAGACATATGGCACCGGTTCATTTCAAACCGGTGACAAAAAATAAAGCCCACCGGTTTGAACCGGTGCCTTTATTTAATAAAAAAACCGCCCCTTTATAATCACCCCCAACCTTAATTTTACAAGCCATCCGATCTCTCTCCTCTTCTCCTCTTTCTCTCTCCTCTCCTCCTCTCCTCCTCTTTCACGATCTCCTTCTCCCTACTATTTCTCTTTCTATCTCCTTCTCTTTCTC